AAAGCAAGAACCAATTACTCTACTAGGTTAATAATAATAATAATAATAATGATTTATTATCAGTATTTCCATACAATGGCTTTTCACCTGATAAAACTACTACTACAATATCTAAGGAAATAGTAAGAAATTTGCAAACCTAGACCTAAGCATTACAATTAAATAGTGAGACAGCGTTGCTTTAAATTATTAAAAGTTTGTCTGGAGAAGTCTCTATGATCTGTGCATGATTTTACATCAGCTGGTAGAGAATTAAATAATGAAGCTGAACAATCTTGAAAGGTATTAGAAACTAAAGGTATAACTAAATTAATCCAATTTAGTATAATCCAATTTAGTTAAATCCATAAATTAATCCAATAAATTAATCCAGTGCACGAGTAAAATCGTCCAGCATTAGACAGATTGAAGTTGTACATTCCGTATCAGATAGGTGCTTTTTTGCGCCGCTACGAAAAGCCATCTGGTATAGTGGAAACCTAGCCTAGGCGCATTGTAGCCTGCATGGGAGACGGTCAGCCCGCAGTGGAACACCTAAAAACGGGCGAGACGAAGGAAGCGATCTAGCCGCATGCATAGGTTTGAGATAAAGAAGTCCTCTGTAGTTTTTCACTGGTGGTGAACACAAACAAGGTTGGCGAATGCTGAATAAATAAGCCAAACATTGTTATGTTTTTGTTATGATTATTCAGCAATCTGACAACGCTGAACACAAACCGTATCAAATTACCTTGGTTGATGATAAATGCACAAGCGTCCGGTCCCAGCGTGTCGTAAAGCGGTATGATCACCATCGAGAAACGGTTGCAACCTTGCTCAGCTAAAACCCACTGCGAGAAAAGAAAACAAAATTACTTAACAAACCATTGATGAGACTTAACCAGGAACAGTTCCCTCTGGCAGGAAGGGAGTTTCCAGGAGTTCCCTCTGAGACAGTTGTCGAGATCTAACCAACTGAGCTACAGAGAGACAGTTGTCGAGCTCTAACCAACTGAGCTACAGAGAGACAGTTGTCGAGATCTAACCACAACATACCTCAACTTTGTTTTGAGAATAGATACCAATGAAGGTCTCTGGCCCAGCTTCTACCCCAAGCTCTAGTAAGCCAGAGCCGAAACATAATGCTCGCTCATCAACCTATATCAGAAGGGAACAGATACTCTTAATTCCTTAAATTATGAAAATTAAATGGGGGTGTCAGTTTAGTTTAGGTTTCCTTCTGTAGTAACACTGGAGCAATAAGAGATGATCCTTACTGGACCTCTGGGAAGAACAGTTTAGAATTGATAGAGCTATCCAGTATAAATAAAGTTAGTTTAGTTTAGGTTTCCTCCTGTAGTAGCACTAGATCAATAAGAGATGATCCGTACTGGGCCTCTAGGGAGAACAGTTTAGAACTGATAGAGCTATCCAGTATTAATAAAGTTAATATAGCCAGTATTAATAAAGTTAATATAGTTTTAGTATGATAAAAAATCATGCATGGAATACACACTTCATTATAGGTAAGCCACTGATATTCTTGATCATAATCTTTCCTCCACCCAAGACAAGGTTTATCACCTATACAGAAATTAAGGTGTATATTACTGTCTTGCAATGTTGTCACACAAAAGCGAACATTCACTTACCTGCGAGTTGTACTCCTCGCATAAATCCTTCATAAAGAGTATTCACATTGTCATAGAAATGCTCAATAAGTTCTTCGCTTAGCGCAGTTCTCCTGGCTCTACCTTCACCCTAAAATGATATCAACTATCTTTTGCTCAAAAATTTCTCAAAGCTGGACTATAGCGCTAACCCTGGGTTAAAATTTAACCTGCTGTTTTAAGTTAGTGTATTTCTAGTTTCTACACGCCTGTTTATTTCAAAACTTCAGAGAAGAAAACTCCTATCGATCCAGACAAGATTCGGGGAAAATATTTCCATGTTTATAAACAAATTGTTTTGCGAAGATTGCTTTCAAGATTTGGTTAACCCTGGATGAAACTGGCTTTTGAACAAGCAGCTCCAGTGCTAACACCACTGAGCTATTGGCAGGGTCCCCACCTTTTAGTGAAGATGAAATTCAAGGACTTTTCCAGGACTTTCAAGGACCTTTTTCAGTATATTCAAGGACCTGGCAACTGGAAAAATGTTTGAAATCATCTAATTTTTATCCTTAAACTTGGAATGCAATTAGAAAAAAAATGACATCGAAACAACTTTTGGACAATTGTTATACATAATTGTGATTGAAATTGGAGAAAATAAACATTTGGGCAATAATCCTTGGGCTGGTAATAATTCTTCAATTATTTCCAGCCTACTGAAAAAAAATTCCAGGACTTTCAAGGACCTTATCAGTTTCCAAGGACTTTCAAGGCCTGGATTTTTTTTAACAAATTCAAGGACTTTCCAGGATTTTCAAGGACCGTGGGGACCCTGTATTGGGTTCTGGATTCATACATATAGTCTAGCAAGACATGATAGTCTGGAAACTAAATAGAAGTCATTGTATTATGTTTTTGTCTGCGTATATGAGAATTTTGTCTACGGTCATGGTGATTGAGCTCATTGTATTTTCGTGTAATGAAGTAATCGTCCAATACGGATAGCTGAGATGAAACGTGCAACCACGATCAGGGGTCGAAATTCCCGCTATTCCGCTAATCCGAATATACTAAAATGCCTGACGGAATAGTAAACTTCATGATCACAGTATTCCGTTTGTATAGTAGAAAAAATTATGATACCAAATATTGACAAGCAAGCTAGGGTTTTCCTCTTGTATAATATATCATTTTATACCGGACTTTGAGCCACTGTTCCACTTCGTAGCTAAGTTCTTGTTCGCTTGTAATACTTGCATATTCTAATTTCTTTGCACCAATAAAGTTTGCAAGTTCATTTCAGTGTTTGAATTTTGTTTTTTATTAATAATTTGTTCCTCACTGTACAGATCGAGCAATGCACTGTACATGTTTCTTTTACAATTATTCAGTTCACTTTAGGAGTCCCAAGGATGATTTCACGAAAATCAGAACATTAGCGCGAACCCTGCATCAACAGGCTCTCAGAAACAGTACATTAAGTATTCAGTACATTAAGTATTCATGATCACAGTATTCCGTTTGTATAGTAGAAAAAATTATGATACCAAATATTGACAAGCAAGCTAGGGTTTTCCTCTTGTATAATATATCATTTTATACCGGACTTTG